ACACAGACCGTGCACGTGCCCCCGGGTTCACAAATGTTGATTCCCCTCCGGTTACGGAAGCCATGGGGGAAGGAGGCCTCGGAACAGGCCATGCTTTTGGGTCCTTCTAATAGGGCTGTTGGAGGTCTCGATTTATCGGTGGCTCACACTTTGGTTGGGGCAGACAGGGATCCGTTTGTCATGGTTTTAAACGCTGGGGCGCGGCCGGCCGTCATTCAGCAGGGCACCGTGCTGGCTCACGCGGCACGGGTCCCTGCGGAGGAGAGGTTGGTTGCGCAGGCTGCTCCGAGCCCCACGAATAGCGTACCATCGAAGGAGGACCTAGATTGGATTGATATGCTGTGCGCGGACTCTGACGATTTGTCAGCGGTACAGTTGGGTGCGTTGCGCGGGTTGCTGATTGAATTTTCGGATGTCTTCAGTAAACATAAGTATGATATCGGATGCACGGACCTGCTACGCCACCACATTGAAACGGGCGATGCGGCACCGGTCAGGCAAAATCCCTTCCGACTGAGTCCTGCTGAGAAGGAACATGTTCAGTCGGCAGTTAATGATATGCTGGAAGCCGACATTATTTCGCCTTCTTCCAGTCCTTGGGGAGCACCTATTGTGCTCGTTAAAAAGCAGGACGGGTCCCTGCGATTTTGCGTCGATTTCCGCCGCCTGAATAAGATCTCGGTGGCCGACGCGTATCCGCTCCCCAGGATGGACGAGTCTCTCGACGCATTGTCCGGTGCGCGATACTTTTCGACTCTTGATTTATTGTCCGGATTTTGGCAGTTGCCACTCGACGAGGAGTCTAAGCCTAAGACTGCATTCCGGACTCCAGGGGGCCTGTTTCAGTTTAACCGGTTACCCATGGGACTTCACTCCTCTCCTGCGACGTTTCAGCGTCTTATGGAATTGGTTTTGTCGGGCTTGCAGTGGGAGACGTGCCTCATTTACCTTGACGATGTCATTGTTTTCGGTAAAACGTTCGAAGAACACCTCCAGCGATTGAGAGGGGTGTTCTTGCGAATGCGATCGGCTAAATTAAAGTTTAAACCGGCCAAATGCCATCTTTTTCGTAAATCCGTGAGGTACTTGGGTCACATTGTCGACTCTTCGGGGATTTCTACCGATCCTGCGAAGACGGACTGTGTCAGTTCGTGGCCGACGCCCACGTCAGTGTCAGACGTGCGCAGTTTCATCGGTTTTGCTTCGTATTATCGCCGATTCGTTGAGCACTTCACCACCATTGCAAAGCCCTTGCACGCTTTAACGGCAAAAGGAGTGAAGTTCCGGTGGGGACCGGAGGAGGAGGCTGCATTCTGCTCCCTTCGGGACGCCTTGGTAAGGGCCCCACCCTTGCGCTATCCGGACTTTGAGAGTCCCTTCTTGCTAGACACGGATGCTAGCAACACGGGCATTGGGGGAGTGCTGTCCCAAGTCGTTGGAGGGGTCGAACGGGTGGTCGCCTATGGTAGCAGGGTGTTGTCGCCGGCAGAGCAGCGCTACTGCGTCACCCGTCGTGAACTACTTGCCATTGTTTTTTTTGTACAACAATTCAGGCCATATCTCTATGGTCGTCATTTCACGGTCCGGACGGACCATGCGGCGCTCCAGTATTCATTACGGGTTGCCCAGCCCTCGGGCCAATTGTCGCGGTGGTTGGAAGTCCTCCAGGACTATCAGTTCACGACTACGTACCGTAAAGGGTTGCGACACACGAATGCCGATGCCCTGTCGCGGTTGTTGCCTTGTCACAAATGTGCGTGCTTATCGGGATCGGCGCGCTGTAAACCTCCGGTTACGGAAGGTAGGGAGGCGTTGGTTGCGACCGCGAGCACACCAATTGGGGATGGTCCCGCTACCCCAGGGGGTCAGGACTCGCTGCTCTCACTGTCGTTGATTGAGTGGGGCCGTCTCCAAATGGCGGACAGCTCCCTGCTGGCATTGCGCCGAAAGACGGAGGGTTCCGAGGGTAGCCACGACCGAACTGGCTCCTACGAGCTTAAGCAGGGCCTGTTGATGAGATGGGACAGTTTGTCCCGGCGGCATGCGATTGTGGTGCCTTCTGCTGTGAGGGGGAAGGTTGTCTTGGCCGCACACGAACGCCTCTTGCATTTGGGAGTTAACAAAACGCTTGCCCTGCTTCAGCGTGACTATTATTGGCCGGGAATGGGGGGTGACGTGGTGAATATTCTGAAGGGTTGTGTTGAGTGCGCCAGACGGAAACCACCGCCCGTGGCAGCTAATCCACCGCTGCAATCTATTCAGGTCTCGCGCACTAACGAGCTCGTTGCACTCGATATTCTGGGGCCCTTTCCGGTCACGCCTAGGGGTAATAAGTACCTGTTGGTGGGGGTCGAATATTTTACCCGGTGGCCTATGGCGTGGCCACTCGCCAACCAGTCGGCGGCGGCTGTGACGGACGTCTTTGTCCAGGGCTACGTCCTGGACAAGGGGGCTCCCGAACGCTTGCTGACTGACCAAGGGAAACATTTTTCGAGTAAATTACTGCAAGAGGTGTGCGACCTGTTGGGTACCAAAAAGGTGCGTACCTCCCCGTACCACCCGCAGACGGACGGGATGGTGGAGAGGCTTAACAGGACATTGACCTCTATGCTGTGCCAGCAGGTGTGTGAGTCGCATGTTGATTGGGACCTGCAGGTCCCTGGGGTCCTTGCCGCGTATAGAATGGCCCCCCATGCAGCTACGGGGTTTTCCCCGTTTTATCTAATGTACGGTCGGGAAGCCGACCCGCCCATGGAAACGCAGCTGGGTCTGCCCGCACCACGAACTAATTCTAAATTGGCAGAGCATATTAAATTTAATATTCATAAACTGACAGAGGCAAGGGAGGCCGCACGGCTTAATTCGCGGGCTCGCCAAATTGCGAACGAGCGGTTGCGGGCACGGAAGGTGTCCGTGCACAATTGGGAACCAGGTGACAAGGCCTGGCTGCATTGCCCTCAGGCACCTTTGGCCACGTCGCCTAAATTGTTGAAGCCGTGGCGGGGACCCGTGGAGGTCGTGCGGGTTGCACGCCCCCAGTGCGTTCAGATAAAATGGGGGAAACGCCGTTGGTACGTCCACCCCTCCCGACTGAAACCGTTCTCGCCTCCGTATGGCCTCCCCTTGTGTCGTGAGGGCCGAGCATGTGACGTGACCGACGACCCTGAGGGGGAATTGTCCTTGCCTGCTCCTCACATGTCTCCGCCTGATCCGCTCCCAGGTGTCTCGGAACTGACTGCTGCCGACCACCGGCGGCCGGATCTTCACGGCGGGGCCGGTCCTTCCAGGCCCGATCCGTGCCGTCTAGAGCTGCCGGAGACACCGGACGGTCGCCAACGTCCCGTTCCATACGACGGACCGGCCAGACGGACTCGCGCTAGGTCGTGCTACTTTGTGTAACCTACCACGTGCGGAGTCGAGGCAGCCGGAGCGCCTCGGCACTGCGTGGGTCACAGTGACACTTGGCGCGTTCGTTTTACGGTGTTCGCTTTTATTGTGTTGTTCGTCGGGCTGTATATTGCTTCGTATTTAAGGTTGTGTTATGTTGTTGTTGTTGTGTTACGGGGCACACTGGGATGTGGAGTTCTTTATTACTGCGTTGCGTTATGTTGTGTTGTAGGTTAACAGCCGGGCCGGCTGCAAGCTATGTGGGAGGGGGTGATGTAGAGGTGATACGCGCTGGGATTAGGGATCGTATGCACAGTGCGTGATGATTGGCTGTGTAGGTGGTGACGCGCGCTGACGGTGGAGGATCAGGGGTCAGCGCGGGGTCGTGGGTTACGGGGTACCGATTGGCTGTGGGCCGGTGACGCGCTGAGAGGGAGTGATCAGGTGGCAGCGCAGTGTGATTGGTGGAGTAATGTTAACACGCGCTGGGGAAAGCGGATCGTAGAGAGAGTGCGTCGTGATTGGTTCATTAAGGAACGACGCTCACGTCGACGCCGCATCAGCTCCGTCTCTCGTGAGCAGGGGCTATAAAAGGGGATGCACACAGGCGTAAGGGCAGTGTGTAACCAGCGAAGAATGAAGACGGGGATGAAGACCTAGAGCCCTGCGGTACCTAGCCCGCTGTCCTAAGGGGACCGGGACTCTGTGTAGCCCAGAGGCGAGTGTAGTGTGTGTAGCCATAGGTCTACACGAGTCGAGTGTATTGTGTAGCCAGAGGCATAGGGCTTACACGAGTCGAGTGTAGTGTGTGTAGCCAGAGGCATAGGGTCTACACGAGTCAAGTGTATCGGGTGTAGCCAGAGGCCTAGAGTTTACACGAGATTAGTGGAGTGTGTCGTCGGAAGAAGGAAGACCACACGTTGTATTGTGACACGTAAAGATTTAATAAAAGTGTGTTACCCGTCAAGAAGTTCCTGCCGTCAATTCCCATACTTCAGATGTGGCCATTTTGACTGCTTGGAATGCCTGCTGTAGAGCGATAGTGAATTACTCAGTGGCGCTGTTTATAAAAGTGTAATTACTGTACCAATCATACACACGAGCAACAGATATATACTTTACATAAAGCCCCGTAGTGCACACTGCCTCACAGCAAGAACCGTCTGAGTTCCATACCTGACTCGGACGTCTCTGTGTGGAGTGTATATGTTCTCCCTCTATTCTGCATGGGTTTCTCCTGGTTTCTTCAGTTTCCACTCATAACTAAAAAGACACACACAATGGAAATGGACAAAACATCCCAATGCTGAAAAAAACACCGTCAAATTACTCAAGAGAGAACCCTCTGCAAAAAAATATGCACGTGTTTGCCGACGAGTAGAAATGCAATCTATGTTACCATTTTATGCACAATGCATTTATTTGTGAAATAGGAAAAAATGTGCATCACACATCGACACTCAGCACGCTGAGGTGCCTCTCTAACCCATCAAACACGGCTGACGCTGTCAGCAGTCGTCACTCGTGCACAACTGCCTGTGCGCAGACACCGTTGTGGAATGGGTGACACGTGATGGTGATGGGATTTCGAGTCACTTAGATCTCTGTTGCAGTGCCTGGACGCTGCGTGTTGGAGACTCGCCTGGCCAGGAGCGGCAAGATCTTGGTAAGTGTCAGCTGGTTACATTTTTCAATAATTGTGCATATCAGCATCAAAGTTTGAGTGTTGAGTTTATTTGATTTGTTACACGAGTGGGTCCCGTTAAGCCAGTTGCCCAGCTATTTTACACGGGAGATTTGTGGTGCGTGAACACAGCAGCATCTAGACTCCGAGTGGAGCATCACATTCCATTCCGGAACCCCGTTAACAACACAGGTTCGTGTTTTATCGCACTACTCACACGGGATATGAGATTAATTCAAATTTCCCACACATGCGTGTCATGGCTCCCTGCAGCCATGCAACGTCGTGATGCGTCCCATGCCTGCCAGTGCAAACAGGCCCCCTGTGCAGATAATGAAACAACTACCAACTTGTTTTTATGTTTTTGTTCTGTTTTATAATGGTTATATTGTCCATTTGTGGTCTAACAAGCCAGGGGCATAAAATTCATATCACACGACAAGCCGGTTTATATATTTAAGCTCCGATACGAGCTGCTGATTTTCATCTCAGGCGCCAGGGTGGCGCAGTGACATAAGGCTTCTAAGCGCTGATGGCTCGATGCTCCACAATTACCACTGCGTTATTCACTATCAGAGTTGTAATAGATTCGAGTTCACATGTCTCTTGACTTGAGCAAGGTTGGATATACGAGATTGAAAAAATTAACGATGAGAAGGAATTCCAAAGTGGAGCAGTGCGAGGAAAGAAGCCGAAAGGGAAGTATTGTGAGCTGCAGTGTGGTGGACCAAAGGCAGTACAGATGAAATGAAGCAGTCAGTGTCTGCTGGACCCGGGCCCTCAACGTGAGTGGAGGAATCACTGAGTTAGGTTCATGGGGACAGTCGCCATGGTAGAGCTGCACAATAATTTTTGGGTTAATTTTATGTGCAGCCACCCAGGCATGTGACCCCATCATCAAATGATCACTGAGTAGTGGTCATCTCTGTTTAATGCCCCTTGCCAGGAGTGGAAATTCAGCATTGTTACGGTGGTGCCAGTATCTTCACAGCGTGGTGGTGAACTCCCACGACGTGTTATGCATTTTATTGCCCCAACAGAGCAATGGCGAGGGGTCAATTGTACCATTTAAAGCAAGGCCGTAGCCATGGAGTCAAGATTTGGGGGGACCAAATCTTCTAGGGGGTCTGGGGGTCCCAACCCAGATAAAAATCTAAAATTGAAAACTCATTTTCTGCCATTTCCTGCCTAAAATATTGAAAAATTCATAAACACATGGGATGGACTTTTTATTTATTCTTTTACAATATTGTCTAATAGTGTATTGTATTACATTGCTCTGGTTTTTTTTACCATTTCTTTGTTTCATTCTATGTAATGTTTGAGATTAAGAAAGTTTAACCATAACCACAATCATATAAACATAAATCTATGCATTGATTTATATGAAGAAAAGTACAGATATTGTGGCCAAGTTTTAGAAAATTGTTGTTTTTATTTACAAAGCATAGCAATTATGATTACTTTTTTTTATATTTTTATAGCAATATATTGGGGGGGACATTTTGAGCATATTTGAATATTGGGGGGGATGCGTCCCCCCCAATATTTGATATCTCACAAAAACTGATGCCAGATTTGGAATCAGCAACCCAAAATTACCTTACAACCGTTGGAATACCTTATGCCAGAAAAAGTGTGTTGACCAGTGTTATCAGAGTGCTGTTTTTTGTTGTTTGCATTTTGACTGCAACTATTGTGGTCAGAATGCAAACATGATCCCTTATAAAAAAAAGGTGTCAGTTTTGTTGCCAGATAAAAGGGTAAAACCCTATTATCAAAATTTCCTTCATTAATCCAGAAGAGCCCGAGTCTTGAGACTCATTTCCAGCAGCGTCCAGCAATGGGAATGCTTCGACAAATTTCTTGAACGAGTGGTTTGATTTGAGGGAGTAAACCAGAAAATCTGGAGTAAATCTACACCACAGCAAGGAAGCCGGACATTACTCGACATTGCCATCTTCTGGCCACCTTGCGGCCAACGCCAACGGTAACACGTGGCGGCCTCCCATCTGAGTTCTAATCAGGCTAAACATCTGCTTAGCTTCAAAAGTCTGACAAGATCGGGTGCGTTCATGGCGATTCAGTCCGAGACAAAGAGTGATGATCGATGAAAATACGTCACAGGTAAAGCGCCCGTAAATGTTACCGTCAAATACTGTCCACCGTTTTTGACATGAGCAGGGCACGAGCTATGGAATGCCATTATAGGATGTTAAAGTTTACCGTCGTCACAAAAAAGGCGACCTCATTTAATGGACATTTTAACCCCCTGTTCTTAATGTCCTGTTGCACTCAAAGTCATGAGCGGCCTCTACGAGGAGAACACTGAACGGGTCTGAAGGGCCACACCGGTAGGTTGAAGTGAACAGCTCTGGCATCCCTGGGTTAACGCCCGAGTTGTGGTTTATGGCCTAACAGCTCCCTCCTTGCCTCCGTGGCGATGATAACGAGGCTCTGTAAATATTGAAGGCAATCCATGTTGACTGCACAGTGGTTGCTGGTAAAGCCCAATGTGACAGTTTCCACAGCTGTAGGGGTTGTAACTTCAAATACAAGTTAAGGGACTCTATTTGCAGTGGGCTTTAAGGAGCAGCTGAAAGTATTTTCCCGATAATTGCCATTAACGAACACTGCTTTGACAAAGACCCATACACAACCAGCTAACATCTGAGACGAATTTCCCTTGAGGAGAGATCCACGCAAGACTCCTTGCTGGTGGCACCTGCAATGAAGACCACGTCACCCCAATCCTGCAGACCCCTCCACCGTCTCCAAGATCCTCCTTGAACCCACGGCTGCTTATCTGTCCCCTCTCATCTAACTCTACTCCCCACCACGCACTCTCCTACGACTCCCCTCTCTTCTCACTCTACTCCCCTCCACATTTCTCCTACCTCTCCCCTCTCATCTGACTCCACTCCCTTCCACGCACTCTTCTACCTTTCCCATGGCATCTCACTCTCTCTTCCTCCATGTATTCTGCTACCTCTGTCTTCTCTAATCTCACTCTACTTCCCTTTAACTGTTCTCTGCTCGGGCAACCGAGGCGTTTTCTATAGCCCCCAGTCAACCTTCACCCAGAAGGAGGTCACTCGGTCTCCTGTGGTGCCCTCATAGTTCGGGATTCCTTTCCCTCAGCCACCCATGCTACCGGCTCCCTGCCCCTGTTCAAGTCCAGCCTCAAGATCTCTCATGAATCCTCTGCCTGACTGCCTGCCTGCCTCTCCCCACGAAATACATACACCTGCCGCTTCTTTACAATGTTTTGAGATGCAGTCACATTTCTCAAAAAGCGCCTCGCTTATTTTATCCAATTAATCAATTTAACGATCAGTCGCAGCGGCAATTCTTCTTCAACTAAGCAGTGTCAACCGTGACAAGTAATTGGAATTGAAACGGCTTCCCACAGCCGGTTCACTTGACGTGTTCAATAACTACATCACAACGGCCAATCTCATCTCGGATGTTACGGCAGGCAGAGACACTTGCACAATCTAGTACATTTGCTGGGTCCAAAATGTAACCGCACCGAGATAATGGGAGATGCGTGAAAGCCGTCACGTCAACACATCGAGGGTCACTACCAGGGGGACCTTGCCCCGCGACGTGGACCGCGGGACATCCAAGGCACCTGCACCGCGCTCTCGAGTCTCGTGCATGCCTCATCCAGAAGAATCCATGCATAGGCCAGGCACCGCACACCGCACGCTGGCCAGCACCAGTCCGTGCTAATTGAGATGGCATATTTATTTTATTTCAGTCACAGTCTCAGTCTGTGGATTTTATATATGTTCTATCCCTGCTATGACTATGACAGCCAAAAATGTAGTCCAAATCTGAGTACTGATATGTTGATGTGAGGAGAGTGTCATTTTATTACTCCTCAGTATAATAAATGTTATCAGGTCAGCCAATCCGTGAACTCGTTAAATGTTTCTTTTTATATACAGTCCATACACTCTCTCGTAACTTACCACTTGTGTTATCTTTAGTCCACTGCAGTCTCGAACATCGCAAAATCATCGCAGCCTGCGTCTTCACAGCAGCGCATCGTTCTTTGGTGGCTAGCAGTGACCGTCACCGCCACGTTTGATGAAGTTCATCCGCTCATCGCTGATTGAAATAAAAACACCTCGTCGGCGAACATCACCGCCATTAATGTCACCAACATAAATGCTCCCTGGGCCATCGGGCCTGCACGCGCCCTTCCCCTGCCGTCACCAAGCCAAGGCGAGCGGAAAACGCAGCCGGGGTACGAGATACATACTTACGTAGGGGTCACCGAGTTGGATCTTGGAGTCAGGTATGATGTGAGACAGGGGAGCCACCAGTTAGAGGAGTCGGCGATCCACATGTTATGTAGCCGGATAGGATCCCACAGAAACAACACACATATCTCTGCACAGGGCAGGCCTGGGGACAAACGCAAGGTGGTGGCACGGGAAGATCCATGAAAAAGGATAAATATTCCTGAAAAACGTACAAACTGTATGGTGTAGAATGATTAACAAATATACACAAACTAAAATATTAAAATACAACATACATATAGGACACATCATTATGCTCGTTTACCCAGTGTTAATATTATTAAAAATTACATTTTTAAAACTACAGCCAGTTCTCAACTTACGAACACCTGGCTTATGAACACCCGCACTTACGAAACAACTTCCACAAAATTTTTTTACATCGACTTAAAACGCGAACTCGCACTTGCAAACTGAACCGTGGCACTCATCAGCGGAGAGATTCTCCGCGAGATGTAATGAGTCAGCCTCGCGCTGGGAGTGTCTTGTGTGTGCTCACGAACAGCACTTGCAGCAATGAATCCCACCGTCCGAGTTCGATTCGTTGCCACGGCTAACATCGGTGGCGAGTGATATCGGAACCGATTCAACCCTTAGCCAGCCTGCACTGACCAGCATGGTGAAGTATGGTCAAAAACACCCCATGCCCTACAATGCTTGAGGAGGCAACCATCTATTGGTGGATGGAGAATATCAGAAATGAATGTGACTTTAATGCCCCGTGACAGCACCGAATGAGTTTATATCACACACATACAAAAGTACCGTGTTGTGCACCTGTTTTCAGGAGTTCATTTGTGAGCGTGCGTGACCAAATATATCCACTGCAGACTCTGAACTCCACTGCAGATTATCACGCAGGCCAATTCCTTTCTTGTACAGTAATGGTTATCTAGCTGGGTGCTTCTGTGGCAAGAGCATATAACTTATCGTTGGAAGTTTGTGAGCTTAAATCGAGGGTTTGGTTAATAAAACTGATCTGTCTTAAAGCTGGTTATTCAGATCAATGACCCACCAGTAACATTGAAAAGCACTGTAAATATCTCAGTGGCAACATTATTCAGCTGTATTGTCTTTATACCGTGCCCAATAAAGGAAAGCATGATTCCGTGAATTTATAACAAAATTTTAATGTTATTTTTTACAGACGCGCATCTCGGCTGCAGCTTTGATGATGAGGGGCTCCCGCTGTGCGGCTGGACTCAGTCAGGCGATGACACCGGAGACTGGATCAGGAACTCGGGAGCAACCCCCAACCCCAACACCGGTCCACCTGGGGACCACACCAACGGATGTAAGCAGCACTCACATTGTAAAATGGTTGCTTAGAAGAAAAAATAAAATATAATCTGGTGGCCAGGTGGCTCAGAAGTCAGAGGACTTGGATAGCACAGCTCGATAAGGTGCTGGCCAAGGTTTGAGTCCAGGCCGCTGCCTGTGATTAAACCTGCTTCTCAAGTCTTAGTGAGTTGATGACCTCAACATGGTTACCAATGACTGCGCACAAAAATCACATCACGTTAAATTTATTTAACACGCTTAATTTGGCAATAAATCCCAGCACTGAGAATAAAATATTTAGTTTGGCCGCCTTGCGATAAACATAACTCTCATGCAGAGCAAGTGGGAAGTGCTGCCCTCTACTGCGTGTCGTCCGGAGGTGACTTGAAGGCATCTCAAAGGTAGCTCTTTGATAGCCGCTTCTGTGGGCCGTCTTTGAACACGAAGGGTCACACTGCTCTGCAGGAGATATGGGTGGACGCGTCTCGTATTGACGCCAGTAGTATAATCGAGACAACACTGGGGGAACAAACTCATAAAATTCAATGACAAAACTATCTGTTACGAACACTCTGTGTTGAGTCTTCACCTCGGATATTGTTACATGTTTACTGTTTTACAGAATTATCTCCTGTTCAGCGTACCATGCTTTTCAGTTGTATATACATATATAAATGAAACAATTAGAGCCACTTGTTTAGCATACATACAAAATTACGTCTGCATTGCATTTTAACAATGTGCCGCCCAGTGCGTTTTAACAAATCTCGTCTATCCACGCCTATTTTTTTTCGTATGTACCTTGCAGTTAAGCCTAAACTTTGATTCGTAGATAAGAACACCTGGATGTGCCCCATTGTTGAACTCAATGTAGGCGATCTAACCCCAAAACACACTATTATGGATGATATTGGTCGCGAAAGCCTACGTGTAAAATTTTATACAGTTTTGCTTATTGGTGTCATGTCATGAGATGAAAACATTTAAATTCCCAAATGCCACAGAAAGCGGTGCACCACTCTGGTTTTATAACAGCTTGTGGGTGATATCACTAACCTTGAGTTCCTTGATCAATTGCCTCTAAGGCAGTGTATGGGTGCTGCACATTCTCATTCAGCCGAATATTGACAATGTTTGCCACATGATGAAGCAAACATTTTGTAGCACAGAGTGGAGAATATGCCACTTAAAGTGAAAGAGATTTAAATCGATTGGGTTTTTGCGGAAGTTGTTTAAGTTCATTTATTAAGTATAGCCCTGTGAGCCATTCGGCTCTTGAATCGGGTGCAACCGCAACAAACAAAAAAACAAAAACATGAACAAGAAAACATCTTAAAGTGAATGTGACTAAGTGCAAACAGAAAATCCAAGAAAAGACAGCAAAATATTGCAGAAAAAACACCGTACACCAACGCTGTGTGCAAACATCCCAGTGGGATCATGACAGCAGTTGTGCAAATGTCGCGACAATAAAGCAAATTCCCGTGCGATGCTCTCTTGCTGTTTTTGATCAAGACACAAATCTGACCCAGCAAATTTACAATTGCGTGGGATTTTACGATCTCGTGATTAACTTCAAACACACACGAGAGACAAAATGCTCACGAGCCTGCCTACAAGGCCGAAGTGTTTCTTAAAATTAGATCTGAATAAAACTGTAAACAGGTTGAACATTTATATGGAAATAATTAAAATATTACTAGTTACATTTTAAAAAATAATTAAAAAAATGTACGAGATCTAACCCAAAAAAACTCTTATTGATGTATTATAATTGTTAAACAAATTAATTAAAAAAACACCCCTTCAGATAATAACAATCTAAGCTCAACTAAACTATTATTACTCTTTGGTTCTTTCGGTAAAGTCACGTAGGTATAAAATAAAATAAATCACGACGTTTCGGGCGCCACACAAGCGTCCGTCATCAGGTGGGAAAGCATGGTCTGCTGCTGATGCAGACTGTTTTAAAAAGGTTAGAAATGGGTGTAACCCAAGGGTCATAAAAAGTGGCCGGGGCTAGTGATGTTGATATGAGAAATTAGTATGTAACTGTAAGATATAAGAGCCACCTCCTAAACGAGGGCAATGGAAGTGGCTCTGTTAATGAGGGATTAGCATGATGTTAATGTGAGAAATTAGAGGGCACGGAAGTGGCTATGTTAATGTGAGGGATTAGCATGATGTTAAAGTGAGAAATTAGAGGGCACGGAAGTGGATATGTTAATGTGAGGAATTAGCATGATGTTAAAGTGAGAAATAAGCATGTAACTGTATAAAATAAGGAGAAGAGGTGGGCCTCCTCGACGAGGGAATGCAACCCAACGGGTGTAATACGAAGGGCCTGTGAGTATGAGAGTGCAATCCAAAAGACGCTTGTGTTGCGCTCAAAACGTCGTGATTTATTTTATTTTCTACCTACGTGACTTTACCGAAAGAACCAAAGAGTATGGATTCCTGCAGTCACGAAAGCCTCAAATCAAGATTAAACTATTATTATTTATCAGGTAAAGCCCACCGAGCTCAATTTACACTGTACCTCGTGGTGAATTCATCCTGCTAGCCACAGCTGATCTGTAAAATCAGGAGGGGGCACTGTGTAGCATGATAAATTAATCCCACTGTCCACACTTTTTTCGAGGGTTAAGATTAGAGAGTTTTCGTGAACGGAATAAAATACAGGTAGTCCTCTACTTATGATAGAGATGCGTTACGATGACCACATCGTAAGTCGAAAATAGTGTAATAAAGGACTTCGCTGACACACTGCTTGGTCTCCGTCACTCTTTATTCCCGTTGATGCTCGCACTCCGCTGGTCCCGACAGCGGACCAGCTGCTCCTCGCGCGCCTCGCACGCGCTCTCCCGTCAGTCGCTCCACTCCCCCGCTCCCGCACACCGCTGGCCGACGGTGTGCTCGAAGCTCCTCCAGCCACGTGGCTGATGGCGCGGATACCCTCCGGCCACCCAACGTGGTCCCGCTTCGTGACTCTACCAACTGACCCGGAGCCCTTCCGGGATCCCACCTATATTCCGTTCACCACGTGATCCTGTCTCCTTCCTCTCACCACGCCCTTCACCAAACCTTCCAGATCCGGCCTCCGCATAGCGCCTTGCTGGCTCCGCCTTTAGGTTCCGCCCCTGCTCACCTCGCATCCGATTGGACCCGAGGTGAGCGGCGGACCTTCACATACGCCCCCATACTGGGCCCCGCCCCCCAATACCCTGGGCCGTATGATTGGCCCAGAGCCGAGCAGCGAAACCCCGCTTACGCTCGCATTATAATAGCGTAAGTCGAAGATGGCCTAGCCTATCCAGGAGTCTTAAAGAATGGTGATAATTTAGCAAAACAGAGCAATTTACAGTACCGTACCGTATAAACTTAATTACAATACTGTATTGCACAGTAAAATTGAAAGTTAAAAACAAGGTAAATTCTTAGCCTACCTATATGAACTGCAATTTAATAGAAAGTTTTTTCAGGAAACAATCCTATCTGCTATAAAAACTTTGAACATGCATTGAATGTATCGTATCGTGGTAACCCTAAAATTAAATCGCTAAAGCTACGTATCATACATCCATTGAACGTATCGTAACGTATCATATTGTACTGTACTCACCAAGATTCTGTCCGTTGTCTGCATACTTGAACGATGTTAGGTTATTGATGGCTACATTAACTTCGTTGTCGGAAGAGGATGGCGATGATAAAGTACAGTATCGTACCTCGTACGGTTCTGCGTTTGCCTGCCGCGCGAAATGTAAAATATTTTTCAATTTTGTCGTATTGCTATCGTAAAATCGAAATATCGTAAGTCGGACCATCGTAACTCGGGGACTACCTGTACAATTTTTTAGGTATTTTGATGAGCTTGAAGTTCTCCCCAACACTCCCCGACCATCGCGGATAAGAAGTCTTCCCCAGACCACACAAACGGGCCTGGTTCTTTTGTCAATAAGGAAGTAGGGGGCTCCCACAGGGCGTATCTGCACCGGGCCCCTAGCAACCTCATGGCTGGCCCTGCTCGTGCTGCTTGTTATCGGTGTAAATTGACGGCACGGGATGCCGGTTTGTTTCAGCCTCCTTCTACCTCTACCTGGACTCTGCATCCGTGGGAGCTGGGGGAGGAGTGAGGCTCCTGAGCCCCAGCATCAACACCAACCAGAACGTGTGCCTGAGCTTCTGGTATCACATGTTCGGCGATGAACTTATGACCCTGAACGTGCACGTGCTGGAGGACGGTGGAGAGAGACACGTGTGGCGCGCGGAGGGGCAGCAGAGCATCGCCTGGCTGCAGGGAACCGTCACCATCCAGGCCAGGCCAGACACCCAGGCCAGTGGCCCTTAATACTCACCAGAAACGCCCACCAAGAGTCTGATTCCTATAGCTATGTTTGGCCACTATTCTTCCACTTTGAAGAAATTACAGCTATTTTCTTCGAAAAATCTTACATAAATGTTACTTTGATAATGCCTGTCTGCTAATTTCCAATCCTAATTTGTTCTCAATGCATCTCGCAGTAATTGTATTTGTGCGTACCCTATTCAATACGTTTCTGCTCTTTCAATTGCTGTTTACTTATTGTTTTCCAACAACCATGGATATTTAAGATCTTTCGGCATGTTTGTGCCCGTGTATGCTCTGTTATAAATTCCAAAATTTATCAGATTTTTCCACTGTTACAAAGTGACAGTAATTTCCAATTAGCCTGGTCCTTCAATACCAAGGATGGGATAATTGCCCTCCCGAGCTAGTAAAATAACTAGAACCATCCTTTATTTTTTTGATTTTACATCCATGCATGTGTTGTGGATTCACGGAGAGTGGAGACGACTTGTAGAGGCAACGCGTTTATTCCAATAACGGTAACAATAACTTCCACAAAGGGCAGCGGCCCTTTTACCTACTGCCTGGGGAGGTACGGCCTCCAGACTAGTGTGCCCTATCACTGGGCTACGGGCTCTAAGTCCTCCGGCTAAGACTAACCTAGGGGAGGCTACACTGACCTGACCCAGCCAAGATACGGGTCCCGACCACTGGCCTACTCGGTCCCGGCCCTTACAAGGGCAGCCTGTCTCGGGGTCCCAGGATCCTAGGCTAGCTGGTCTTCTGGCTTCGGTCTTCGGACTGGCCCTGGACCCATCCAGAGGTCCGGCTTTTATACCCCTCCCTAGGTGTGTCAGCCCCTGGCCACGCCTCCCTTCCAGAGAGGGGGGAGGGGGGTCTCGGGTGATCCTAGAACACCCAGAACCCCCTCCCCTGCTTTGGGGCTGGGGAATGTAGCGACCCTTATGCCGGTCCAAGTTACTACCCCTGGTGGGCCCTGTCTGCTACTGCAGGTAAGTATACGGAGCCCGATAATTGGTTCTTTACCCTTCTATCTGGCAACAAAACTGACACCTTTTTGCAAGGAGTCATGTTTGCATAGACCGCAATACCTGCAGTCATAATACAAACAAAAGAACATAACTCTGATAATGTGCACTGTCCCTGAAGTTGATTGGTCCACACCCGAGACAGCTTTCCTTCGAGCCTAGTCTCATATGGGTTGGACCAGATGACGCCAAAAGGCGCACAACTCAAGGACAATGCACCATCAGAGTATGAGAGCTCTCATACTCTGATGGTGCATTGTCCTTGAGTTGTGCGCCTTTTGGCGTCATCTGGTCCAACCCATATGAGACTAGGCTCGAAGGAAAGCTGTCTCGGGTGTGGACCAATCAACTTCAGGGACAGTGCACATTATCAGAGTTATGTTCTTTTGTTTGTATTATGACTGCAGGTATTGCGGTCTATGCAAACATGACTCCTTGCAAAAAGGTGTCAGTTTTGTTGCCAGATAGAAGGGTAAAGAACCAATTATCATATTTTTACTGGCAAATGAGGTCCCCATAGTATACGGAGCCCATTTACTGCGCTACACATGTTTACAGTTATTCCTTTGTGAATCAAAATTACCGTACATTTTTCTTGTGGTTAATTTATCTGAAACAATCACTGTAAAGTACAGGCGTCCCTCCAGTAATTCAGCCCCCCCCCCACAGTGCAAATTCACAGTTATGCGATTCTTCTTTTAGGGAGATACTTCATACGTACGCTTTGTGTTTCACATTTACGTGCTCGAGAGAAAAGAAAAAAAAAATCAAATGTTTAAAAATAATTTTTAATTCTAAAAATTCAAAGCAAACAAACAATATTCCTGATGGCGTCACAGCGTCATGGCAGCGCCCAGCGTCACGGGCTGGGAGTAGCCATCGTAGATCTACCGCCTGTGTCTGCATCGCACGTGCATCTGTAAGCAGCCCACGGAAGCATTCAAGGAGCCCTGAAGTTACTCATTATTAAGTAAGCTTTGTAAATAGTAATATTTTAAATAAAAATTATTAGTATTGTTTATTAAACTCCTTAATAAGTATTTCTTTGAAATGTTACAAATGTTATCAAGTTTTACATCTATACGTATTTTGTAAACCCAATTTTTCTTCAGAAACGCACCCCTCCGTATAACATGTATGTGTATAGGAAAATAGTCTTCATACAGCACGATTCGACTTACGCGTTGTTTTTCAGAAACGCATGTCACGTGTTATGCGAAGGACGCCTGTGTCTGACTCAATATCTACTCTATCTGCAGGTTATCCTGGAGGGGATTCGGGGAGCATTAAGATTGAGTGATATAGGCCTGGATGACATTTCCGTGGCTGAGGGAAATTGTTTTGGTAAGATGAAATGAATTCAGTTTTATCATTTTGTAATAAAGGACTCTTAGGCGATGTTGGTCTCCGTCTGTCCTTTATTGGGTTCTTGTCTCCGGTCGGACCCGCACCTCTTCTGTCGCGTGCCCTCCGCACGCCGTTCGAGTCCTCCGCTCTCTCTGCAGCCACACCGCTGCCCGTGTGCCCCGCACACTCTGCAGCCACCCTGCTGCTCCGAGTGCTCCCGCACACTCTGCAGCCACCCTGCTGCTACGTGTGCTCCCGCACACTCTGCAGCCACCCTGCTGCTCCGTGTGCTCCCGCACACTCTGCAGCCACTCTGCTCCTCCGTGTGCTCCCGCACACTCTGCAGCCACTCCGCTGCTCCACGTACACCACTGGCCGACGGTGCCGTGACTCCGACCACGTGGCAATTCGTGCCACCCCTCCGCCAGCACCCTGCGTGGCTCCTTCTATCTCTACTCTCTCTCCACTCCCGATCCCCTTCCGGTTCTCACCCTATATCCTCCTCCTCACGTGACCCTGACTCCGCCACCACTCACCCCGGCGACCAGGCTCCACCTCCCCTAATACTCCGGCCCGCGTGAGTGGCGCAGAGGCCGCGCCCACCCTGTCCTTGCTCGCATTACAATTTTACACTTATTAATTATGAAACATTCTCACCGTGAAACAGATTTTCGGCTCAGTTGAGGGTGTCATTGTGAGATCGTTTGTTAAAATTTCAATCAGAGAGTACAGCACGCCATCTCCATCATCCCTCTGGAGTACCGACCGGAGCACCCCTACTAGGTGGGAAGTCACCAGTGATTGTCCTATGGAACAACTAGTCTCTGCTAGAAAGCTCCCGAGCTCATCAAATTTCGGCTGCTAAGCAGGCTTGAGCCTGGATATCACTTGGATGGGTGACTCCCATGCACAGACAGGTTGCATTAGGGCTATCGGGCCCTATGGCAACCTTCAATCCACGCTGACCTGGGTGGCGAAGTATGGTAAAAAAAAATCTCTCACAACCCAAGCGGTGTGGGAAGGCCCTGATCCAGCAGTGGATTTAGAAAAGCTCCAACTGGTTCAGATATTCGTCACTGATGTTTGTCGTGAACGAGACTCGAGCTCGAGTAGCGGGATTAATAACGCAGTGCGTGTTGGATCCCGATTTGGTGGCTGAGTGGAGATTGTCCCATCGGATGTCACGATGCTGTGGCGGATTCCTCTTGCTCCTCTCTAAACTGTGATTGGTTAGCGAACACTGAGCAGGCGAAGATTCATACTACATTGCACTGAATGAAGAACTGTGCGCTGCTGGAAACTCTGCTCAGTTCATGAATCGCACCCTAGAATCGGCACTACAACAATTTTCTGGCCCAACAGAGCTGTGACTGAATGATTTTAAATTCCAGTGGCATCGATATTCTGCACTATAGCCATGCATTGATAAGTTAGCAACTTACGACTCACCATGGAATGCAGAAAATATAGTTTGCTTGTTTCTTGTGTGTAATTTAAATGTGAAGTAATTTACCCACGTATTAATTCATGTTTTCACCCCACAGAGTGTGTGAGCGGATGTGATTTTGATGAAATGGGAGACTTCTGTGGCTGGCAGAACAGCGGAGGGGACGTGGGCTGGGAGCATTGGACTGGTCCCACAGTAACTGAGAACACTGGTCCTGACGATGACTTTTCACGCCCTGGCTGTGAGTATCTTACAGCCTCGCATCACTCACAGCCTCCACTCGAGCTCCTGGCATTGAAACCCACATTCAGTATAATGTGTATCGATCACTGTGTTAGTGAATACAGCAGAATGTGTGTGTGGATCACTGTGTTAGTGAATACAGCAGTGTGTGTGGATTACTATGTTAGTGAATACAGCAGTGTGTGTGGATCACTGTGTTAGTGAATACAGCAGTGTGTGTGTGGATCACTGTGTGAGTGAATACAGCAGTGTGTGTGTGGATCACTGTGTTAGTGAATACAGCAGAGTGTGTGTGGATCACTGTGTGAGTGAATACCGCAGTGTGTGTGTGGATCACTGTGTGAGTGAATACAGCAGTATGTGTGAATCACTGTGTTAGTGAATACACCAGTGTGTGTGTGGACCACTGTGTTAGTGAATACACCAGTGTGTGTGTGGACCACTGTGTTAGTGAATACAGCAGCAGTGTGTGTGTGGATCACTGTGTGAGTGAATACAGCAGAGTGTGTGTGGATCACTGTGTTAGTGAATACAGCAGTGTGTGTGTGGATCACTGTGTTAACTCTGCTGTGTGTAGTTGGGAATTACCTGCTGCTGGACTCTGAGTACAACAAACCTGGAACGGCGCTGCTGCTAGAGAGTCTGGCTATCCCCTCCTCTGGGTGCCTCGTCCTGAGCTTCCACTACTTCCTGTATGGGTCAGCAGAGAACATGGCCATCAACGTTTACATCAACAAAGGTACAGAGGCTTTTATCTCCATTACAGTTGTCAGGCTTTGCCAGTAGTTAACCTGTCACGATGTAATTGAAGATATGCACTTTGTTTTCATTTCAATTTGGATGAAAGGCCATATTGCCAACTAAGGGTTGCTTTAAAGCCAAGATTTAGTAGGCGTTGTGTCCAGATGAAACGGTAGTAACTAAGATCACGTATAAGTCTTTAGATAAAATTATCATTCGTATCGCAAATATTAAATGTCGCTGTACGCACTACTGCAAGTACATGTGTATGCACAGACGATATCACATCACTGTCTTGAACACTTCAGTGTACAGTGAGGGAAAAAAGTATTTGATCCCCTGCTCATTTTGTACGTTTGCCCACTGACAAAGAAATTATCAGTCTATAATTGTAATGGTAGGTTTATTTGAACAGTGAGAGACAGAATAACAGCAAAAAAATCCAGAAAAACGCATGTCAAAAATGTTATAAATTGATTTGCATTTTAATGAGGGAAATAAGTATTTGACACCCTCTCAATCAGAAAGATTTCTGGCTCCCAGGTGTATTTTATACAGGTAATGAGCTGAGATTAGGAGCACACTCTTAAAGGGAGTGCTCCTAATCTCAGCTTGTTACCTGTATAAAAGACACCTGTTAACAGAAGAAATTAATCAATCAATCAATCAGATTCCAAACTCTCTACCATGGCCAAGACCAAAGAGCTCTCCAAGGATGTCAGGGACAAGATTGTAGACCTACTTAAGGCTAGAATGGGCTACAAGACCATCGCCAAGCAGCTTGGTGAGAAGGTGACAACAGTTGGTGCGATTATTCGCAAATGGAAGAAACACAAAATAACTGTCAATCTCCCTCGGCCTGGGGCTCCATGCAAGATCTCACCTCGTGGAGTTGCAATGATCATGAGAACGGTGAGGAATCAGCCCAGAACTACAAGGGAGGATCTTGTCAATGATCTCAAGGCAGCTGGGACCATAGTCACCAAGAAAATAGTTGGTAACACACTACGCCGTGAAGGACTGAAATCCTGCAGCGCCCGCAAGGTCCCCCTGCTCAAGAAAGCACATATACATTACCGTCTGAAGTTTCCAAATGAACATCTGAATGATTCAGAGGACAACTGGGTGAAAGTGTTGTGGTCAGATGAGACCAAATGGAGCTCTTTGGCATCAACTCAACTCGCCGTGTTTGGAGGAGGAGGAATGCTGCCTATGACCCCAAGAACACCATCCCCACCGTCAAACATGGAAACATTATGCTTTGGGGGTGTTTTTCTGCTAAGGGGACAGGACAACTTCACCGCATCAAAGGGACGATGGACGGGGCGATGTACTGTCAAATCTTGGGTGAGAACCTCCTTCCCTCAGCCAGGGCATTGAAAATGGGTCGTGGATGGGTATTCATCCACGTACGTGGGCAAACGTACAAAATCAGCAGGGGATCAAATACTTTTTCCCGCACTGTAGTACGGGGTAGATCCGTGTGATGTAAGGAAAAAGTTTAGCTGGAGGCATATTATATTTTTTGCGACATAGAATTGTAATGTATGACTTATTGTTAGTAGCTAAGTTTATTGGAGAGTATATTTAGTATATTGATGATATTGATGTCGTTTATATTTTAGTTTTTTACGTGGTGGTTTGGCTGCTACAGCTTCTTACTATTAAAATTCCTTCTCTTTATTACTGCGAATACTACTTCCTCCCTTTGTTGCTGCTAATCCTACATAATGCAAAATATGACTTTGAGACCCCCCCCCTACCTCCTACGCAATCCCATATCTGCATTTTCCATAAATATGCTAAATTCCTCTGTTGATATGCAAATTCCTTTGTAAAAGCGCCCTTCCTCCTCTAACCCAGCTTAAATATACGCTGCCAAGCTTGGTGGTGTTCATTCAGACGCTGTATTTCCGACAGACCTGTTCTTCACCTAAGGACGGCTGCTTGCGTTGTGGCCGAAACGTCGTGAGAATTGTATTTTATTATGTTTTATTTTTATTATTTCCCTTCTACATGACTTTACCAAAAGAACCAAGAAAACTTAACACTTGTTTTGTTGCCAGATAAAAAGAGAAAACCTATTCTCATATTTTAGTACTGGCAAAGGAGGTCCCATGATATTAATGAAAATGGTTTAATGGGGACTATAGTTTTAATGGGGATGATGGTTTTAATGAGAATTATGGCTTTAATGGGGATGATGGTTTGAATGGGGATGATGGTTTTAATGCAGATGATGGTTTTAAAGGGGATGGTTTTAATGGGGATGATGGTTTAATGGGGATGATGGTTTTAATGCGGATGATGGCTTTAATGGGGATGATGGTTTAATGATGATGGTTTTAATGGGGACTATAGTTTTAATGGGGATGATGGTTTGAATGGGAATGATGGCTTTAATGGGGATGATGGTTTTAATAGGGATGATGGTTTTAATTGGGATGATGGTTTAATGATGATGGTTTTAATGGGGACTATAGTTTTAATGGGGATGATGGTTTGAATGGGAATGATGGCTTTAATGGGGATGATGGTTTTAATAGGGATGATGGTTTTAATTGGGATGATGTTTTTAGTGGAGATGGTGGTTTTAATGGGGATGATGGTTTTAATGGTGACTGGTTTTATCTCCATGTAACTTTGTGTATTTGTGTGTCAGTGGCACACCCATATGCTCCGCTTCCAGCCGTGTAACAAACCTTCTGTATCACCCACACTGACCGCAGCTGTCAATGGACAACCCGTGTGGACTGTTCAGGGAAACCAGGGAGAACAGTGGATTTTAGCTCAAGTCATGTTCCCTGAGTCCGGAAATGTTCAAGTAAGAGAATCCCTTACATGCAGTGTAGTTCTGTATATGTGTCTACTGTATTTGGATCACTCCCGATGATATATGTGTGTGGGTTAGATTTGAAAGATATGCAGTTGTATTTGGTGAGATGCAGATTTGTAATACCAATTGGTAAGGTGTAAAGATTACGACTCAATTAGAATGCACTTTTAATTGTTTACGATTCCCCACTGTGTGCACGGCTATTTATTTGAACACTGCACCACCCATTATTCAAATCAAGCTTGGGCTGGTGTTGAACACTTTGGGTTGAATGCAGCTGAATGAAATCAAACGTCATTAAAAAATTGTGAAATTAATTTAAAGTGTTTAAACATTCAGAAACCATGTAAATGTTTTTTATGTTTTGTGTTTAGTTTATTGTCCTTCCCCTGCACCTCCGATTAGCACGGTTGGCTACGTAGTTCAACATGCATGCATACAAATGATGCACACACGTTTTGTTATTCATGTTGAAATTTCATGAAACTGAACACTTTTGAAAATAACGTTGCGTTATTAATGAGTTGTGTGCATTTCAAGAGATCTCGTGTCATACCGATGTATTTTCAACCATATCAGTTGATTAAACAAATCATGATGCAACTTAGATTTTCTTAGTCCATGGGTATTAACCCACTTCATATATAAAAAAAAATTATATTACCTTCGCTCATGCATTAAATATGCATTTGTGCTCCTGCGAGTTCCAATCATATAAATTGGAATTCTATGGACAATTCCTGGGCTGCACAGTTAGAGAATCTCCATTAATTAAATTGCTGATTCCTGCGTCTACTTTAAATAAAGGGGTGATTCTTGGGCTATTCGAATGGAGACAGGACCATCGCCATGGAGTTGAATGGGGATTCTTTGACAGCCTAGCAGTTGTTCAGAGAATCGCCACCAGATTCCATGCTCTGGATATTCCCCACAGAAAATATTATTAACGCAACGATGCACACATTAAACCATGCATGTGAGAATCAACTGTTTATTTATATAACCTATATGCTAATGTATATATAGAGAGTCATTCATTATTGTAATCAAAGCGCGACGATAAATTGTAAATATTTGTATAGTTACTGTGGGCAATTGTTAGATGCCTAGAAAATACCATAAATTCGCAATTCAATTGATAATCCCATTGGGCATCGTATTCCATCAAAGAGCCGCATCGCGATTGGGACCAGGCACAAATCGCCCGGCATTAGTCCCTTGATGTTCCTACCAAAGCGTCACATATGAAGTATTCGGAATGACGGCAGGAAACCACTTGACGGGTAGCACACTCTTTTATTAAATCTTGACTTGTTACGATACGTGTGGTCTCTATTCTCACACTACACACTCCACTGACACGTGTGGTCACTACTTCTCCCGCTACACTCCACTGACACGTGTAGTTACTATAGCTCACGCTGCATGCTCACACTGCACTCCAGCCCCGTAACGTCCATGGAGCCTACAGACCCACCCCAAGCTTGGGCGTGGGTCACAACCTCTGGGTCCCGCGAGCCGGCCCTCACACGGACGTTCGGCCCCGGGTCCCAGGGTCCCGCCTCTGGGTCACACAGAGCCCCGGTCCTTGCAAGGACAGCGGGACTAGGTGCCGCAGGGCCCTATCTCTTCCTCCGCCGTCTTCAGTCTTCGCTGGTCACCAACTCCCCGAGCGACCGCGCGCACCACCTTATATAGCCCTTTTGCGGACCGCGATGTGAGCACCCACTAGTCGACCAATCACGGCGCGCTGTTCCTACGATCCGTTTTCCCAGCGCGTGTTACCACTACACAACCAATCGCCCCGCGCTGCCACACGATCACTCCCTGTCAGCGCGCGTCACCAACACACAGCCAATCACCACCACATAACCCATGACCCCGCGCTGCCCTGTGATCCCTCACCGTCAGCGCGCGTCACCGGCACACAGCCAATCACCATGCGCTGCCCCACGATCCCCACTGTCAGCACGTATCACCACTACATCACCCCCTCCCACATAGCTCGCAGCCGGCCCGGCTGCTAAACAACACAACAACAACAATAGTAACACAACAAAAACCCAACCCCCCAGTGTGCCCCGTAACACAACAACAACAACACAATGACATAACACCAAACAACAACCTATGTACAAACCGACAACAACACAATAAAAAAAACCAACAACAACACACAACACCTAGACAACAAGTTATGTACAAACCGACGAACAACACAATAAAAGCAAGTCCGAGAAAAAGAACGTGTCCAGTGTCTCTGTGACTATCGATCCCCCCCCCCCCCGCTCCGCTCGCTCCTCCACCGGGATGATGGAGCGGTCGAGCGGAAGAGGAACGCAGTGACGAGGCGCTCCGGCCGCATCGACCCCTCATTCGGTTGGTCAAGAAAAGTTGCGCGACTGAGCGTGAGTCCGCCTGGCCGGTCCATCGTATGGGACGGGACGCTGACGACCGTCTGGTGGCTCCGGCAGCCCCGGAAGGCGCGTATCGGGCCTGGAAGGACCGGCCGCGCCGCGGGGATCTGGCCGCCGGTGGTCGGCAGCTGTCAGTTCCGAGACACCTGGGAGCGGATCAGGCGGAGACATGTGAGGATCAGGCGGAGACATTTCCCCCCTGTTGTCGTCGGTCACGTCACATGCTCGGCCCTCACGACACAAAGGGAGGCCATATGGAGGCGAGAACGGTTTCAGTCGGGAGGGGTGGACGTAGCAACGGCGCTTTCCCCATTTTATCTGAACACATTGGGGGCGTGCAACCCGCACAACCTCAACGGGTCCCCGCCATGGCTTCAATAATTTAGGCGACGTAGCCAAAGGTGCCTGAGGGCAGTGCAGCCAGGCCCTATCGCCTGGTTTTCAGTTGTGCACGGACACCTTCCGTGCACGCAACCGCTCGTTGGCAATTTGACGAGCCCGCGAATTAAGCCGTGCGGCCTCCCGTGCCTCGGTCAGCTTATGAATGTTAAATTTAATATGTTCAGCCAATTTCGAACTCGTTCGTGGCGCGGACAGTCCCAGCTGCGTTTCCATAGGCGGGTCGGCTTCCCGACCATACATCAGATAGAATGGGGAAAATCCCGTTGCTGCATGGGGGGCCATTTATACGCGGCGAGGATCCCCGGGACCTGCAGGTCCCAGTCAACATGTGCCTCGCACACCTGCTGGCACAGCATAGAAGTCAAAGTCCTGTGGAGTCGCTCCACCATCCCGTCTGTCTGTGGGTGGTACGGGGAGGTACGCACCTTCTTAGTACCCAATAGGTCGCACACCTCTTGCAGCAATTTACTAGAAAAAATTTTCCCTTGGTCGGTTAGCAAGCGTTCGGGAGCCCCCTTGTCCAGGACGTAGCCCTGGACAAAGGCGTCCGTCACAGCCGCCGCCGACTGGTTGGGGAGTGGCCACGCCATAGGCCACCGGGTAAAGTACTCGACACCAACCAACAGGTACTTATTTCCCCTCGGCGTGACTGGAAAAGGCCCCAAAATATCGAGCGCAACGAGCTCGTTAGTGCGCGAAACCTGAATAGATTGCAGCGGTGTATTCGACGCCACGGCCGGCGGTTTTCGTCTGGCGCAATCAACGCACCCCTTTAGAATGTTCACCACATCACTCCCCATCCCCGGCCAATAATAGTCACGCTGAAGCAGAGCAAGCGTTTTGTTGACCCCTAAATGCAAGAGGCATTCATGTGCGGCCAGGACAACTTTCCCCCGCACAGCGGAAGGCACCACGAGTGCGTGCCGCCGGGACAAATTGTCCCATCTCATTAACAGGCCCTGCTTGAGCACCCAGGAGCCAGTCCGTTCCCGGCCATCCTCGGGACCCCCCACCCTGCGGCGCAGCGCGAACAGGGAGCTGTCAGCCATTTGGAGACGGCCCCACTCAATCAGCGACAATGAGAGCAGCGAGTCCTCTCCTTCAGGGGCAGCGGGAACATCGCCAATCGGTGCATCCGCGGTCGCGGCGAACGCCCCCATACTTTCCGCAGCTGGCGGTTTACAGCGCGCCAATCCCATTAAGCACACACATTTGTGACAAGGCGACAATCGCGACAGGGCATCGGCGTTAGTGTGGCGGAACCCCTTTCGGTATGTGGTCGTGAACTGATAGTCCTGGAGGACTTCCAACCACCGTGACAATTGGCCCGAGGGTTGGGCAACCCGCAATGAATACTGAAGTGCCGCGTGGTCCGTCCGGACCGTAAAGTGACGGCCATAGAGGTATGGTCTAAATTGTTGTACAAAAAAAACAATAGCCAGCAACTCGCGATGGGTGACGCAGTAGCGCTGCTCCGCCGGCGACAAAACCCTGCTACCATAGGCAACCACCCTTTCGACTCCCCCGACGACCTGTGAGAGTACCCCCCCAATGCCCGTGTTGCTAGCATCCGTGTCTAGCAAGAAGGGACTTGTAAAATCAGGGTAACGCAAGGGCGGGGCACCCACCAAGGCGTCCCGGAGGGAGCAGAATGCGGCCTCCTCCTCCGGTCCCCATCGGAACTTGACTCCTTTTGCCGTTAGAGCGTGCAAGGGTTTTGCAATGGTGGCGAAATGCTCAACGAATCGGCGGTAATAAGAAGCAAAACCGATGAAACTACGCACGTCCGAAACCGACGTGGGCGTTGGCCATGAACTGACACAGTTCGTCTTCGCGGGATCGGTAGAGATCCCCGAAGAATCGACAATGTGGCCCAAGTACCTCACGGACTTACGAAGAAGGTGGCATTTGGCCGGTTTAAACTTTAATTTAGCCGATCGCATCCGCAAGAACACCCCTCTCAATCGCTGGAGGTGTTCCTCGAACGTTTTACTGAAAACAATGACATCGTCTAGGTAAATCAAGCAAGTATCCCATTGCAAGCCCGACAAAACCAACTCCATAAGGCGCTGAAACGTCGCGGGAGCGGAGTGAAGACCCATGGGTAACCGGTTAAACTGGAACAGGCCCCCTGGAGTCCGAAATGCCGTCTTGGGTCTAGACTCGTTGTCGAGTGGCAGCTGCCAGAATCCCGACAACAAATCCAGAGTCGAAAAATATCGCGCGCCAGATAATGCATCGAGGGACTCGTCCATCCTGGGGAGCGGATACGCGTCAGCCACGGATATCTTATTCAGGCGACGGAAATCTACGCAAAATCGCAAGGACCCGTCTTGCTTTTTAACCAGCACAATAGGTGCTCCCCATGGACTGGAAGAAGGCGAAATAATGTCGGCCGCCAGCATATCGTTAACGGCCGACTGAACGTGTTCCTTTTCAACAGGACTCAGCCGGAAGGGATTTAGCCTGACCGGTGCCGCATCGCCTGTTTCAATGTGGTGGTGCAACAGGTCCGTGCACCCAATGTCATATTTATGCTTACTGAAGACGTCCGAAAATTCAATCAGTAACGTACGCAGCGCACCCAACTGTACCGCTGACAAATCGGTCGAGTCCGCGCACAGCGAATCGACCCATTCAAGGTCCTCCCTCGATGGATTGTTCTGCGTCGGGCTTGGGTCAACCTGTGCAACTAGGCGCTCCTCCGCAGGGACTCGTGCCACGTGAGCTAGTACAGTGCCCTGCTGAATAACAGCCGGCCGCGAACCAGCGTTTAAAACCATCACGAACGGGTCCTTGTCAGCCCGAACCAAAGTGTGAGCCACCGACAAATCGAGACCCCCCACAGCCCTATTAGAAGGACCCAAAAGCATGCCTCGTTCCGAGGTCTCTCCAACCAATGGTTTTCTCAACCGGAGGGGAATTAACATCTGTGAACCCGGGGGCACGTGCACGGTCTGCGTCGCCAGCGCTTGTATCGTAGCGCACGCCGTCCGAATTTCGGTAGGATTCGTCAAAAATGAAATACGGCGACCCGATGGTAACTCAATGCAATGCTGATCGATGAGAATTTTAATGGGCATTTTAGCCAAGAAATCTGTGCCCAACAGACAAGGGACCGCTAAGGAAGAAGAAACGAAAACGGGTCCCGACAATTTAATATCTCCAATGCAAATGGACGCCCTAATTTGGCCGACAATGCCCAACGAGCCCCCATTTGCCGCGTAAAATGGCACGTCGACCAGGAGCAGAGGTCTACATTGGACGGGGAGAATGTTGTAAATGAGGTCTGATATAATAGTCGCCGACGCCCCCGTGTCCACCAACACCCTGACCTCGACCCCGTCAATGAATCCCGTAACGACCGACGAACCCGCCGACGCAGCCACCATCCTGTGCCCCAACTCAGACCATTCAATGTCCCCTCGGTCCCGCACGAACCCCCCTCGCCGAACCGAATCCCCAATCCCTAACCGGCCTTCCTCCGCCGCAACGCGACGGCCCATGTGTGTCGTGCATGTAGGCCGAGCATGTGAAGTGCCGCGACTTGCCGGGGGTAGTAGGGATGACTTGGGGCCTTGGTCGTCGTCCAGCCGAGGTCCCATGGCGCGCTGACGAGGAGCGCGGCAACCGGACGCCACGTGGCCCCGGAGGCCGCAGTTGTAACACGTGATGAGGGACGTCGGAGGTCTCGGTTGCTCCGGCTTGCGGGCCGATCGCAGAGGCGAACGACCCCCCGACCTCCAGTCCTCCGGTCGTCCAGCGGTGAACGCCTCCTCCCGTGGGCTGATGACTTGGGGCTCGGTGACGACCGGGCCCGGAGCTGAGGCCACGGCAGCAGTGCAGACGGCCCCCTGTTTACGCTGGAGGACCTCGTACGCCTGTATACTTGTTGCGACCCGCAACGAAGAAATATCGACCTCGTCGGCCGTGTTGATGGGGACCCCCAGGTCCTGCGCCAATTTGAGCAGCTGCTCCAAGACCATCGCGTCCTGGCCCTCCTCGTCCATACGAGGGAACGCGGCGTCGGCGAGAGCCAACAACGCCGTGCGGTAGGCGAGGGCGGTCTCCGTGTCTGCCTTCCGTCGGGCGTAAAAGTGATGGCGACACGCCGAGGGAGGTCCGTAGACCTTGGCCATGAGACCCAGCGCCGCCTTGAGCGTGGAGCGGTCCGACCTCTGTGCGGACCTGAAGGCCGCGAGCGCGTCGTCGTCCAACATGGCAGGCAGTGCCCGCAGCGCCGTAGCGTCGGACCAGGCCGACATCTCCTGATGCGCCAGAAACCTGCGCTGGAATGCGCTCCAGTCCCCGCCCTCCGCCTTGAAGGCTGACAATGTGGGAAGGCGCTGCTGGGAAATGAAGTCGTCCTCTGCCACGTGGTTCCTCTCGGCCGCACCGTCGGTCTGCAAGATGGCGGGCCCCAATGGCGGGCGGCTGATGGCGGTCCGCGGCGCGCGTTGATGACGTGAGCGGGCGCGCGTGGAGAACCGCCGCCACGTGTTGCTCGCCGTTCCCGCCAAAAGATGGCCGCGCAGTTGAAATGGCGGGAATCGCCAAGTCATTTTGGCGGGAATCTGCGGGCCCCGCTTGATGAATGTCCGTCGACGTCCCCGCTCCTCCCGCTGTCTTGATTTCTGCCAGGATGGACGCGGCGGCGAACAGCAGCTCTGCCAGATGGGAGTGCGCCTCGCGGAGTACGGCCTCGGTCCCCAGTCGTTCGTCCGGCGCCCTTGGCGGGTCCTGCGGCATCGGCATTTCCTCGTCCTCTCCCCCCGATGCCAGCTGGCCCGAGTCGTCAAGGTTATCCTCGCGGTCATTCCCGTGAGTCCGACGGGTCTTCCTTGTATCCATGCCTGGAAGACTGTTTCACTTCTGACGCCAGTTGAAGTATTCGGAATGACGGCAGGAAACCACTTGACGGGTAGCACACTCTTTTATTAAATCTTGACTTGTTACGATACAACGTGTGGTCTCTATTCTCACACTACACACTCCACTGACACGTGTGGTCACTACTTCTCCCGCTACACACTCCACTGACACGTGTAGTTACTATAGCTCACGCTGCATGCTCACACTGCACTCCAGCCCCGTAACGTCCATGGAGCCTACAGACCCACCCCAAGCTTGGGCGTGGGTCACAACCTCTGGGTCCCACGAGCCGGCCCTCACACGGACGTTCGGCCCCGGGTCCCAGGGTCCCGCCTCTGGGTCACACAGAGCCCCGGTCCTTGCAAGGACAGCGGGACTAGGTGCCGCAGGGCCCTATCTCTTCCTGCGCCGTCTTCAGTCTTCGCTGGTCACCAACTCCCCGAGCGCCCGCGCGCACCGCCTTATATAGCCATCTTGCGGACCGCGGTGTGAGCACCCACTAGTCGACCAATCACGGCGCGCTGTTCCTACGATCCGTTTTCCCAGCGCGTGTTACCACTACACAACCAATCGCCCCGCGCTGCCACACGATCACTCCCTGTCAGCGCGCGTCACCAACACACAGCCAATCACCACCACATAACCCATGACCCCGCGCTGCCCTGTGATCCCTCACCGTCAGCGCGCGTCACCGGCACACAGCCAATCACCACGCGCTGCCCCACGATCCCCACTGTCAGCGCGTATCACCACTACACATATATACGAGTGGTTTCCACTCCAACAAACAACACGATCATTAAATGCTCAAGTCAGACGTGCACTAATAATACGTGACATTGCTTTGTATTTTTGTGCAGTTTGCCATCGAAGGAGTGCGTGGGGAGACACCTGAGAGCGATATTGCTGTGGACAGCGTCTGCGTCTCAGTCTGTGAGCCTACAGGTAAATATGTTGTCGTAGTGGCAGTATTCATATAAAACCGGCCTAATTGACATGTGCATTCTAGTTTGAATTCCAGGATTACAACACAGGACACATTGGTTGCGTGTCTCTAGATACATATTTGTAGCTGTATTTGTGATGCCTCATCTTTTGATACATCACTGTTGGTAATGTATAAAAAACATTTTCCTATTTAAATGTGTGCCTTGTATTTGTTTCTGCACTCTTTCGGTCATCGATGAACGCGAGAGATAATGTTTCACCTGCATTTCCCCCGCACCTCCGATTAGCACGGTTGGCTACATACGGTGGAAAGTTCAACATACATAGATTAATCACGATGCAAAAGATGTCACTTTACTCCGAAAACCCTTCATTATTCCGATTACAGCCATATCCTGAGTGGTTGTGTGTGAAGTTAAATAGAATTTTTTTTCAGAGGCTACTCATACGATTAGAACTGCCAATTTCTCCGTGTATGAGCATGCGTATGTCCTGTATTGGAGATGTGTTTGCTCATACAGTGGTATTAGTTCTACCATGGCACTGCAGGCTCATGATTGACAAAAGGTTCTTATGATGTGCACTCCAAATGGCATTGCTTTAAAGTGGCCTCGGCAGTTTTCTACAACTACATACTGTGCACGACACACAGCTCTTCGGCACATCCGCCCCATGCCCTCAATTGGCGCAGAAAACACCCTCGCCTGCTGTATCATAGGTTCCCATCACAATTGCTGCAATGCCCTCTACTCACTTGGGCATCCGTCAAGAGGATCAACAAATTACAAATACTACGAAACGATCTGCCGTGCCCTGCCCTCGGCATGGAGAGTGGTGGCACAGATTTTTCTGCTTTGCTAAAAATCACAGCGCTCGCCCCCCATATCTGCACGATTCAAGCAAAAGGTTGCGGCCCTCTATCACCATGCTCTTTGCATGGCCTCCTGTCAGACCCAGCATCACTGCTCACTCTGCAGCAGTTCCCTCCATCTGTAACTCTACCCCCCTTCACATACGAAGCAGCATCCAGTCTCCTTCCACCTTCAAGAAGCACCTGAAGACACATTTTTGGCGAGCTTCTTGAGCTTTCTGGGGAACTCCGAGCGAGGCTCCGAGCTTCCTGAGTCGCACTCGAACTTTGAATGCACGGTCGTGAAATTTGAGCGCATTGAAAGTGGACTCTTATTACTCTTTGGTTCTTTCGGTAAAGTCACGAAGGTAGAAAAAATAAATAATAAATCACTACGTTTCGATCGCAACACAAGCACTCGTCATCAGGCAGAAAGACACAGCAGCAGAACTGCTGAACAAGAAATGGCTGTTGCAACCAGAGATTATTTCAGGTTTGAGGTGGGTGTCACCCAAGGGCAAGTAGGCGGGGTCAGAGATGGAAAGGAGTCCTGTCGCCGTGCGTACGCACAACAGCCGCGCCAAAGGAGGATTGGCATGCTAATGCAAACGAGCACAATGGGAAAATGAGCTTTGCCGTCGCACACGAGCACCGTCGCCACACGTACAACAGCGGCGTTAATAGGAGAGACATACAGCCTATTGAACAGCGCCACCTCGTGGGCAACACAAGCTGAGGCGTTGGCTGCTGCACATTGAGAGGCCAGCGTATCAACGCCAGAGAACCACCGTACGGTGGCCGTGACAGTGAGAATTCAGAGAGTCGGAAATAACTGCTAAACAACGGCAGGAAGGATGGAAACATCACAGCAAGTTATGACTTACCTGGTTAATAACATCCTTCTAATGATTGCTCAGTTTGTACCCATCTTCTCGGTTGAAATTGTGTCTGTGTTTATATATCTGGATGGCTTCACGGACAAATCTTTGATGGTAGCCCGAAGGTTTGCAAATTACCTTGGTCTTGGAAAAAACAATATCGTGTGAACCGACCGCGTTAAAACAGTGATCAGCCACGGCAGAGGTATTTGTTTTGCCGTGTTTCAAATCTGCCTTGTGTTCGCGAACACGGTCCGAGACATGTCGTTTCGTTTCCCCGATGTAACTGCTACCACAGACACAACTTAGTCTGTAGGCACCAGGGTATTGCATGTCAGGAATCACATCCTTCACAGGATAGTTGTTGCTGGTCGGAAATGCAACGTGCCCTATGGTGTAGTGTTTTGATGAGGGAGTTCTTCTGGGCTGGATGGTGGTGGAATCAGGCTTTAGATAGGAATCCGTGTGGATGGCTTTCCTGTAGACAGAATGTCCCAACGAGCCATCAGAGTGTTTTCTCGATCAAAATATCCAGGAATGGTAGCTTGCCATCGTTTTCTACTTCCAAGGTGAATTTGATGGATGGGTGTATGGAATTGATGTGGTTAAAAAATTGGTCCAGTGCTGTCTGGCCATGTGGCCAGATGACAAACGTGCCATCTACGTATCTTTTTCACAAGGAAGGACGTAGGGTGGATGTCAGGATGGTATCTGTTTCAAATTTCTCCATGAAAACATTTGCTACCACTGGCGACAAGGGAGAACCCATAGGGGTACCTTCATTTTGTTTGTAGAATGTACCATTCCAGGTGAAGTAAGTATTGGTAAGGCAGTGCCTTACAAAACTTGGTACATCTGGATTCAGTCCATGTTGGATCAAATCTTCAATGATTGCAATGGTGTCAGACTCAGGTACCTTGTTGAACAGAGAGACTACATCGAAACTGACAAGCAAATCATCTAGAGATGGTAAGATGTCCTTGATTAGAGCAACCAAGTGAGCTGAGATAAGTACAGCTGAGGTGGTCTTGCCCATGAGAATGGAAGCAGGTTCTCGGGCCAGTTTGTCGGTGGGTGAGTTAATGGTGGATACAATAGGACGGAGTGGATAACCTTCTTTATGGATTTTTGCAAAGCCATAAAATCTGGGTGCTCTCGGGGTCTGTAAGGACGATGAGATCTGCAGTGTGGAGGATGGCGTCCCTGGACTGTCACACACAGGGTGAGTCCTCCCTGCGTGACTTTTCAGTCTACATATAATGCTTTGAAACATTGTTCTCCAGGTCCAGATGATGACACTCCAAAACTGTACACTAATTTATCCAGTGTAATGGTGTGGAGGGGTTGCCCGGATGAACGAAATATGGATAATTCAAAACATATAAATTCTACAAAAACATATGTCTTACTTAGATAGAATGGGGATGAATAAATAATAATTACTTCTGTAGCGCCGTAACATAGCAAGCCATTGGAAGGTTGCTGAACAGAATGTGTGTAGAATGTGTTGTCTATCTTTATTTGTTTAATAAAATCATGAGGATTTTTGCTGACATGTTGAATTATAGCCATAACATATGCAATAATTAATCATGAAGCAGGGGTAGCTCGGAATTCAACCAGGTCACACGTAAAACTTACATTTGTTTTACAATCATTGTAAACCTGCCCACTCATAATGAGCATTAAGTGAAAATGTGTCAGAATTATTATTCATTGTGTAGTGGGTCCAACTGAGTCGCAGACGTTGTTCCTTTTAGAGGCAACACGTTTACTGTAACACCGTAACACAAAGGGGTAACTGCCCCTTACCAGACTACAATGAGTTACTGCTACGAAGGGTCGATCCCTCACACGGGTCTCCGACCACGTGGTTGCCTCGTAGGATGGAGAGCTTCAGCTTGAGACGTAGAGCTTCCCGCTTGTAGATGTTTATCTTCCAGCTTGTAGATTGCAGTGACCCTGGTCCCTCTCAGGGACCTGCCTTATATCCCTCTCTGGTCGGGGCTGCTCCGCCCTCGGCCCCACCCGCCTTCCTAAACATTCTCGTTCCCTCTTGAACCTTCTCAAGAGCTCCTTCCGGACACGTGATCACCCACCAGTCCCCCACCCGGGGCCCCCTGTGTGGACATTTTGGATCACGTGTCTACGGGGTCAACCAGAGTGCCATGGCTCGGGGCAACCCTGCCCCCTGGGCTGACACTCACCCCCTCCCTCTCGAGGGAGCCCCCACCACATGCTGTGTGTGGTGCCCGCATTATCCCAGTGTTCGCCAAGCACCGCTAGGGCTGGTATTAAACACAGCCACCCACACGGTGCTGTCCACGATGTAGGAACATCGAACGACATGACCCCTCTGGGCCGGCACCATACAGTGACATCCCCGATGTCACTACATCACCCCCCCCCCCTTCAAAGCATCCAGCTGTCCCGGCTGTAAACTCCCCCCGCAATGGTCAATAAATGAAATGCAACGACCAAGTGTGCTCAACAAGAACAGATATAAATACCCCAACCCACCTGTACAAAAATTACACTATATACAAATGTACAAACCAACAGGGAGAAGGGTGGAAACCAACAAAACCATAACCACACAATCTTAACAACAATATAAAAGAACAGCGTGAACCACGGGATCCTCCATGAGCATCAGACCTCCCACCTTCATCGTGTAACGATGGACGCGAGCACAATGGCAGCAAGGTTAAACCAATGACCGCCGTGACTCAGCGAGCGCGACAAGGCAACCGAAAACGTGGGAGCGAGTGTACAAGGGAATCATGAAACAACACCATACCAACAATAATAAAAAACGCGGAACACACGGGATCCCCATAACCATCACACCTCCCACCTTCATCGTTGTAACAATGCACGCGAGCAAAATGGCGCTAAGGATGAACCAATAACCGCCGCGACTCAGCTGGCGCGACGACAACTGACAACGCGGGAGCATGTGTGCAAGAGGATCGCGTACGAGTCTTTGAGCGGGTCCAAGATGCCAGCCCCCCCCCCCCCCCCCCCACAGGGGAGGTGGCTCGCACCATTGGAGGACCTGCAGGGAATGTGTCAATGTTCCGCCGGACCCGGCTCCTCACGAAGAGCAGCAGCCAGGCCGGCGGGTCCATCCCCCCTCGAAGCTCGCGAAACCGGCATGTGCGACCAAGCAGGGGACGACAGGTGTACCGCGACCGGGGACGGGACAGAATCGATCCGCCCGGGAGCAACTGCAGCGGCCACTCGTCCCGGGTCACCGGACGCACTCGACACTCGGCCCCAGTGATATGTAGATGAGATGAATTTGCGCGGCGCGATGACCGGTTCAATCGAGAGGGTGGACAGCACAGCAACTAATCACATCTTGGAATCATCACGTGCAAGGCTCCGCACTCGCTATACCGACAACGCCCCTACCGGACGTACCGGGGCCACATGAGCCAACCCCGTACTTTCCTGAATGACCGTGGAGTCCAACCCAGCATTTTGAACCTGAACACGAGGTTTCTGGTCGTCGGACACCAACGTTTGAGCTATAGCTTGGTACCCCAGTACCCAAATCGAGCGGCTCCCTCAAATGGAGGGAACAGACGTTCGTGCGCCGGGCGGGATTTCCCCCGTTCAGCGCGAGGACATCTGCACCGTAGCGTAAGCC